GCAATCACAATCCATAGCTGCAATGAAATGATGCATCAATCTATAAAGAAGGTATTCGATATCATATTCGTACAGAATAAGTGCTCCATCAAATTTATATCGCTAGATGGATCTCAGTTAATTAGCATTGCATTCCCATATCTAATAGATCCATCACAGTGTAGCTTGAAGCAGCTTGAGCTGGAGTTTGAATTCAATGATGATAATTCTTATAAAATTGATGAAGTCAACTCATCTTCACATGATGCTCTTTCTACTGTCCAGCAACCACATAACCCTTTCCCATTAACAAATGTCCCTATGTTTCAAAGTTCATTTCATGGGATTCAAAAGTCTCTCCCTATTTTGCTAAATGAATCTATATCTCATTTGATAATTGAGATACTACAGCATCATCAGGAACTTAGAAAGCTATCATTTTTCATACAATATAAGAATGCTGTGTTACAAGAGAGTCAGCTTACCCAATGTATTTCTGATTTACTTCTAAGACCTGACTTTAAAGACTTGACTTTTGAAACTCGCCGAATTGCACTCCCAGTTTCTTTTAATATTCTTCTCCGACTGTTTCATAATTTTTTCTATTCACCTAATCCAGTTACCTTGAGCTTATGTCTTAAGTGTCCTGATTTCCCACCACTCACTGATCTACTCATTGTCAATCACGAGCAAGAATCCAACAAGTCACTGGAACTAACCAATTGTACTCTCTCTCCTCATTTCTCCTCTCTTCTTCCTTGTAATTTAGTTCTTAATTCTCTCAAAGTAGTGTGTTTTGAACTGGACGTTCTCTCTTCATTTGCAAATCTGGAGTCTATTAAAGTTAAAAGTTTTTCATTAGAACATGGACATTTCTTCAATAAAACCTCATCTGCTATATCTTCATTGTTTCGTATTGTCAGTGCTCAGGAATGGAATATCATTATGACTATATCTGATGATGTCATTGACTTGTTCACTAGCCTCATTTCTGAAAAAGCTTACCTCTTACGTAATTTTGGTTTAATGAATTGGAACATTTCTACTCCAAGTCTTCTCTCTATGATTCAGAGTATCTTCTCCTCTCTCTCACCAGCTGATGTCCCTCACTTTAAACTTACTTTTAATTATCGTTTACTCGACGATCAAATTGTTAAAGCTTTTTACGACTTATGGGAGAAGCATTGTAATGCAGTTAAATTAAAGAAAATCAATGTACTGGATAGGAGAGAGTTTGGTAAGCTATCATATATGAGTGTTCTTTTAGAAATGGCAAATGAAGTATATGCAGAAAGTTGGCGTTAGTATGATAACAGTTATTTATACATGTACATGTACTCTAACATGTACTTTTATAATTAAATCTTATTGTTATTTTCATTGTAATTGTACAATTGTTATTTGATACTATTTAGGTTTCTAGTAATTATCATTATTGTGTGCGGTTTGTCTTATTGGCATTTTTTCATTATGACCTCACTTACCATGTTTTTGTTTGTTAATTTTATTCCACATTTATTTCTTTATTTTCTTATTTTTTGTAAAAGTATTATGTGAACCAAACGTTGCTGCAAATTCTCACACTGAGATACACATGCTATCAATAGAGCCACTATTCTCTCTTACTATATAAAGTTGTAGCCTGAGACTTCATGTAGATCCACTCGAAATAGACTATTATTCCTGTATTAGCAGTTCCCAATTCTTTCACAAAAGCAATAGTCAGTTTTATTGACTATAGCTTTCGTGAAAGGAGGTTGGGGTAGATCTATTAAATAGATCTACCCTTGTATTATGAATCACTATAATCAACGAAGATGATCTTATTATACTTGCTTGAGAAAATACATTTGTCATTCTATCAAGAGTGGATCATAATTATCCACTCTGGATTCTATTGATTCAACAATTTTAGTGGACTATTGCACTTGTCTGATGAGCAGATGAGTGGGCGTGCTCATTGTTTCAGTTCTCCTACTCAATCAAAATGGCAGATGATAATCTTGAGGAAAGACCCGAGGCCCCTGACTCAGATATTGAAGAGGAAGAAGACTCCCCTCGTTCAGAGCACGGTGATACTACAGATGCTGAGAATGAGATTATATATTACTGGGAAGGACTCAGGGATGGAGTGATGTCTCACCCAGCAGCTCTTCAGTTACAGTGTCTATTGTACATCATAGGACACATCACGTTTGAGCCTCCTTATGCTAATGAGCGTAAGTATC